TAACCTTGGACTGTCTACTATTGACCTCAACCCTTTCTTAAGAGGTCTGTAGGGGGTGTGCATTAAGCGCACCAACGTGCCTACCGTCCCTGTCCTATTGTTTCTTTTAATTTTTTTCTTATATGTACCCATTTCATATATTCATAACTATGTATATACTTATACCTATTATCTTGTAAGCGATTGACAAATCAAAATAAATAAATAAATAAAACATTTCATTACCCAAATAAGATATCGTCATCAGTGCTATTCAGATTATCTTTAGAATTGGCTGCAGATATTTAGACTGGATTTGGGATTTTTATCCAGCCATCAAGCTCTTCCCAAGGACATAGGATAGGCAGATGTTGTTCTTTGATGGCCTTAAAGCTGTTCCAAGTAAAGCTGCCTTTTGCAATTGACTGATGGTGATTTTTGCCAATGCCAATGGTGTTCAAATGGTGCTCCAGACGTTTTGGAGGCGGTATTTATTGATACCATCTTTGCTTTCTTTTGCCATAGACGTTCTACTTCTATTTGCAGGTCTTTATATTTTGTTTAGGTCTGCAACTCCTGAAATCCCCCACCATCCCAGCACACATTAAAGGTGAAGGTTGGTGAAAGCCAGGTTATATTAGGTCTTTATTCTGTCATCTAATTCTTAACGGCAAACAATGTTGGTTAAAAAATAAAAATGTCTATCAGGCACACATCTATATAGCAATGCAGAAATGATTGGACATTGCCTTCTTCCAAGATGCAGAGAGTATTGCATAGGAAATAAGTGGCTAATGAGTCTTTTTGTTTTAGGCACTTTTGGTTGTGTTTACTAGAGAATTAGAAATTGGAGGAAGGGAAGGGAGGGGATCCTTTTATTCGTTTTCACACATCTTGGCCAGGGAAAACTCCCTTGCGGAGGGGTGGGGGGGTCAGTGGTGGGATTCAAAAAACTTTACTACCGGTTCCGTGGGTGTGGCTTGGTGGGCGTGGCTTGGTGGGCGTGGCTTGGTGGGTGTGGCAGGGGAAGGATACTGTACAATCTCCATTCTCTTCCCACTCCTGCAGGAAGGTTACTGCAAAATGCCCATTCCCTCCCCACCCTACTAACCTGCTTTCCAACTCCGTTCTCCTGTGCAGGGCAACCAAAGAAGACCCAGCCAATCAGCTGGGACTTGGGAGGCAGAGAAGAGATGGGGGTGGGGCCAGTCAGAGGCGGTATTTGCCGGTTCTCCGAACTACTCAAAATTTCCACTACTGGTTCTCCAGAATTGGTCTGGACCTGCTGAATGCCACCTCTGGTGGGGGTAAACCACAATCACTGATTATGTTGGGAAATTCCCATCCAGGCAGGAGGAGGGGTCAAGCTGGGAGTTAGCCTTGTAGGACTGTCCCTCTCTCTTAAGTTCCATGAAACCTTATTTGTTTGTTCCCAAGGGAAGGCAATCAACCTGGGGAGATTCTTGTGCCAGAGGTAGAACATAATAAACTGGTCAACTTGAACCATTTACGTGTGGATCCGGTTGCTTTCACCTAATCGTTTCATCTCGTATGATCAAAATTGAGACGCGTGGCAGCTGCCTCATATTTATGATGGTTGAAGTGTCATGCGATCCCCTTTTGCGACCTTCTGACAAGCAAAGTCAATGGAGAAAACATATTCACTTAACAACCAGTTTACTAACCTATCGACTGCAGCAATTCACTTAACAACTGTGGCAAGAAAAGTCGTAAAACCGGACAAAACTCACTTAACAAATGTTTCACTTAACAACAGAAATTGTTGGGTCGTAAATTGAGGACTCCCTATATATGGTCCTCTCAGTAAATAACTTAGGTTCCTAAGAGAGAAGGCAAAGGGAGTTTAAGCGATTCCGTTTGCCTAATGGGAAATTGGTAGCAGGGGGTGCATTAATGCAGATTAGAAGATCAGTAAGTACTGCAGCTTGAAGAAATGTATATGATTATCCTTTTTTTTTAAAAAAAAAAAAGTATTTTAAAAATATATTGTTGTGAAACTTTATATTGTTGTGAAACTTGCAATATAAACTGTAAGAGCCGTGATGGCACAGTGGTTAGAATGCACTATTGCAGGCTAATCCTGCCCATTGCCAGAAGTTCGATCCTGACCGGCTCAAGGTTGACTCAGCCTTCCATCCTTCCGAGGTGGGTAAAATGAGGACCGAGATTGTTGGGGGCAATATGTTGACTCTGTAAACCACTTGGAGAGGGCTGTAAAGCACTGTGAAGCAGTATGTAAGTCTAAGTACTATAGCTATTCCTTCCTTATCTTCTTTCCTTATCTTCCTTCCTTCCTCCTCCCCTTCCTTCCTTCCTTCCTTCCTTCCTTCCTTCCTTCCTTCCTTCCTTCCTTCCTTCCTTCCTTCCTTCCTTCCTTCCTTGAGCCATGGTGGTGCAGTGGTTATAATGCAGAACTGCAGAGTGCTTCCACTTGCCAGCTGCCTGCAATTGGGCAGTTCGAATCTCACCAGAGGCTCAAGGTTGACTCAGCCCTTCCGTCCTTCTGAGGTGGGTAAAATGAGGACCCAGATTGTTGGGGGCAAGAGGCTGACTCTGTAAACCGCTTGGAGAGGGCTGTAAGGCACTATAAAGAGGTATGTAAGTGCTATTGCTGTAACTTGTAAGTATACATGTATACAAGTATAAAAAAGTAAAAACTTTGAGAACTGGAAAGCCATTGAAAATGAAAGAGGAGGTATATCAGTATGGGAAGAAGAAACCAGGGGAGCTATTGTGCCTGAAATTTCAGTGAAAGGATTCACCAGGGAGCAAATTTTTGACTATACTCCGCACCAGCCTCTCCAAATAAAATAACTTTCCGTACAAACTTTAGTAGCAGAGATTGCTCTCAGTGGCTGAATATGTTCGGAAATACATTTAGATGGCTATGTTCAAACAGGAGGCTAAAAATAATTGTACAGTATTTTAAATGTTAGTGCAGTGTTCTATTCTTAGCCAGTTTTGTTTTATATCAAAAGCAGAGGAGGGGGGGAGAGAAAAAATAAAGCACCCAGTTAGAGCAACTGATATGCATGGAAGCCCTTGGTAATGATTGCCCAGCAACATGGTGGCATCTAAGTTAAAAAAAAACACATTAAGGCTGAACTGAGTTTGTATTTCAATAGAAGACGACTAGGGAAGACATCTCAGGACTGTAAGTTAGACAGTTAATAAACCATCACTTGATTAAACGAGAAATAAATGCCAAACCCTTATCATCTGCTCTTCTTCTATATGAAGTTTGGCTCTAAATTTAAACTTAAGATTTGAGACCGATTTTACTGAAATTAAAATTAAATTTCACCCTCTGAAATTATTACAGTTGGAGTGGTGTGAAGGCTTACAGGTGGAGCTCTCGCTTCACAATCAGGAGGCTGTGATTTCAATCCTAGGTAGAGGCAGATATCTCTCTCTCTAGACACAGTGAGAATATATCTGCTGGGGGTGGGTGGGGTGGAAACTCCGCATTGGTGACAGGAAGGGCATCCGGCCAGTAAACACTCAGCTCTATTCAGTTGCCAAGACTGCAGCCGGCAAGGGATTATATAGAGTCGTTAAATGAAGATGTTGACCTTGATTTACAATTGAAGTATACCTTCAGTTAAAACCCATGTCTCCATTTGAAATGCGACAGAACTCGGCTCAGATCACAATGCGGAAGCCAGTATACGAGAGAGAGAAAGAAATTGGGCAGAACTGATCCTTGCTGGCTCCCTTAACTGTACCGGATAGCCCTCAACTTACAACAATTTGTTCGGTGATACAAACGGCAATGAAAAAGTGACTTATGACCGTTTCCCACCCTTACGACCGTTGCAGCATCCCCATGTTCAACACTATCAAAACTCAGGTGCTTGGCAACTGGTTCATATTCATGACGGTTGTAATGACCTGGGGTCAGGTGATCATCCGTGGTGGTATGCTACCGGTTTGGACTGGTTCAGCAGAACCGGTAGTTTAAAAAAAAAAGCCTCCAATGATCAGCTGAGAGAAGGGAGAGTAACTTGGACAACCAGCTGAGAGGATAAAGAAGAGAAAAGCGCAGGATCGTCCCTCCTACCCCCCCCCTCTTGCACTTTTCTTTACCCTCTCAGCTGGTTGGGGCTGCAGGCCTCAGCTGGTGTGGGGAAAGCCGCACACGCATTAGGTGCGCGCATACACACGCGCCATCCCCAAACCAGTAGTGGAACAGGTAGGATCCCGTTGCTGGTGATCGCCCTTTTGTGACCTTCTGACAAGCAAAATCAAGAGGAAAGCCAGATTGATTTAACAACAACGTTACTAATTGTGAAAACTGTGACGATTCACTTAACAACTTTGGCAACCAAGATGGTAAAGTGGGACGAAACTCAGTTCAGTCCCTTAGCAACAGAAATTTTGGACTCAAGGGTGGTCGTAAGTTGAGGAGTACCTGGGTAGTTGGACTGAAAAGACTGGTCCTACATGGTAGGGGAGATGGTGATCCTGCCATTTTACTGGTCCTTCTGAGCATTGAGGGTTTTGGTGTTTTAGCCAAAGAGGCCAGCTTGGTGCATGGTTTGCTGTGCTGATTCTCAGAGACCAGTTATAACCAGCTTGTACTCAACAGGACAAATGCTGCAGATTAAAAACAAACAAAACCTATGTTCCCCTTTGATCCTTCCCTTTCAACTCCTTTTAACAACCCCATAATCCCTTACAGGGTGGAGTCTGGGTGACTGAACAAGAGCTGAATGTTTATTGGCCGGATGCCCTTCCCTGTCACCAATGTGGAGTTATATTCACAGATATATTCTCAACGAGCCCAGAGAGAGAAATTTCTGCCTCTACCTAGGATTGAACTCACAGCCTCCTGATTGTGAGGCAAGAGCTCCACCTCTAGGCCACCGCACCATTCTTCCTCCTTCCCTTTGTGGGATAGTAATTCCCTTTCATGTTGGCACTCCTATTGGCAACCTTTCTCTGATCACTGCCTCGGTGGGCTGAGACAGCTTTTCTCTCCCTCCTTTGTGTCTCCCCAGGTTCTTTACCACCTTTTCGAAGAGTTTGCCAACTATGAAAAAGTCACCCTCACGGACATCGTCCTGGGCTTCCTGAGCTTCTTTGTGGTGGCCCTGGGGGGCGTCTTTGTCGGGGTTGTCTACGGCATCATCGGAGCCTTCACCTCCCGCTTCACCTCCCACATCCGGGTCATCGAACCTCTTTTCGTCTTTCTGTACAGTTACATGGCATATCTGTCTGCAGAGGTCTTCCACCTGTCAGGCATCATGGCGTAAGTATTAGACTGGGATGGAGGCAAGCAGTGCCCTTCAGACATTTAGGACTGGACCTCTCATCAGCCCCAATTAGCAGAGGAGTTTGGAAAGGACTGTAGGAGTTGTAGTCCATTCATCTGAGGGGAACCAGGTTGCCTGTCCCTGCTGTAGAACTATAATGAGTTCATGGGCATTCGTGGTAGCATCTAGTAATCCCCCAAAACCACAATGGAAGACCACAAGGACACACCAGAGCTGTAGGCTAGCTAGACTGCAAACTTGAAAAAAAACAAAACATCCTGCAAACCATTTTTGTTTTGTTGCTATGTCCATGAAGTTCCTTGTTGAGTTGAAGTTGACTTTAGATCATAACCTTTAGAGCAGGGGTCTCCAAACTTGGCAACTTTGAGACTTGTGGACTTCAATTCCCAGAACTCCTCAGCCAGCTACAAGTCTTAACGTTGCCAATTTTGGAGCACCCTGCTTTAGATCACAGGCAGATGACTTATTTTAAGTATTTATTAAATGTATTTGTTAGAATTACAACCTCTCTTTCCTCCAAGAACTTGATTTGCATTTGTGCATTCTCACCTGAAAAATGGCTGAAAACGCCCCCCCAAATGGTGTAAAAACAGCCTGGAAAATAGCCTGGAAAACAGGCCAAAAAATAAGTGGGGGCAGGGCCAGCCAGTGGTGGGATTTGCCAGTTTGCCAAACTGCGCAGAATCTTAACTACCGGTTCGCTGGAACCAGTGCGAACCGGCTGCAGCCCATCTCTGCTTTAATATAATTAAACAACAGCATCTGCCTATCCCACTTTCCTGGGGAAGACTCAATAACATCCTTAGGTAGGGAGCAAGTGAAGAATAGATTAAATTGTTTGAAAAGATTAAAAGTTGTTTTTTAAGCTCTAAGCTAAAGGAACATATGGGTGTCTAGGCTGGGTGTGAAGCCATGGGAAGGTCACTTCCTCTAGCAGTATATTTTGCTTTTGCGTAGGGGTTAGAGAGGAAAGATGTCTCCCACTTACTACTCACACGTAGGCAGTTCCTGATTGCCAAGGACAACCAAAGAATGCTTAACACAAGATTTTATATTAGGGATCATTTTTGAGTGATGTAGATAGCTCCTACAAGCATTCCTCTCTCCATCTTTTCCTTCCAAGTGTGATCATCTAGTGGAATGGAGTATCTTCTCAGGAGGATCAGGGATGCTGCTGGCCTCTTCAGTCTTCCCATAGCCCATTTCTCTTTTTCTTGCAGGCTGATTGCTGCAGGGGTGGTGATGCGCCCTTATGTGGAGGCCAATATCTCCCACAAGTCCCACACAACCATCAAATATTTCCTGAAGATGTGGAGCAGTGTCAGCGAGACCCTTATCTTCATCTTCCTTGGTGTCTCCACTGTGGCCGGGAAGCACCACTGGAACTGGGCCTTCGTCATTTGCACCCTGTTTTTCTGCTTGATCGCCAGGGTTTTAGGTCTGGACATGTTGCTCAAATGAGAAATAGGGCAGGGGTGGTCATTGAAAGTTACTGGTTATGCTCTTTAAAGCCTTATGTGGCTTGAGGCCAAGGTTCTTTGAAGAACCACCTCTCCTTTGTTAGCATCTACCCAGCCCACTAAAGTGTGATTGTGGGTCCTTTTTTTGACACCCCTGG